CTCGGCCTCCCAGAGTGCTAGGATTACAGGTGTGAGCCACCGCGCCCGGCCCATATCCCCATTTTGCCTATGCCTTGGGTGGGGGAGTGGGTCGGGTACAGATGGGGTGGGGGTGGATGATCTCGATGTTGTCTGGAGGCCACTAGTATTTCAGTTCTTAATCAGTTGCCTGAATGCTGGTGGATACCTGTTATAAGACTGGGTGACCTGGGTTCTATCATGAAATCAACTTGGATTTGTCATCCTTCATGCAGGTGGAGAGTTCTACTTCAGGTTTCACTCCTAGTGGAGGCAGCTCTTCAGTCTCCATGGTGGGTATTCGGGTGTTCTTTCGTCATTTACCATTAAGCCTCAGTGATGGTCTCATATAGCTTGCACATTGCTAATAAAGGCTTCCTTTTTGCCAGATTGCCAGTAGAAAGCCAGCAGACGGTGCTTCTTCATCAAATTATGTGACCGATATTTCCCACCTTGTCAGAAAGAAGGTAAATCTACATTTGGTTGTTTCTTTTCTTCCTTTTTTTTAAAATCCAAAATGATGTATGAGGATTACCTTTCCCATAAACCCTCCTAACAGTTGGTGTGTGAGGGCACTCATTTCGCAAATGTGAGAGTTTGTGAGTGAAGACAGTTTTCACTTGAATTACCTCTTCCAGCAGACTCTCCTGGCCTTTTCAGCCCAAGGACTATTAGGAAAGCTGCTGATGAGGATTGGTAAGGTCCATTTTAGAAAGCTGGCAGGTATTCTTTGACAGCAGTCATTCAGCAGCAGGCCTGCTGGTACAGACTCCTGAGTCTGCCTCTGCCTATGGTGCTGGTAGAGCTTTTCTGAGGTTGGGGGAGGGAAGTCTTAACTCTTAATTTGTTTCTTGACTCAAATGTGGTAATTGAAACTTATACTTTGGTTACTATTCACATCTGCTCCTCACCCCCACCCTACCCCACTGTGATTCCAGTAAGGAGGCCAAATTGATATGATGGGACAGACTAATTTATTCTACAGAGTATGGGTTGGCATCTTTCCCCTGTGACTAGGGAGAGAGACCCTTAGAACCATGATTTTGGTGTTCACGATCTTTACACCAGAAGAGTTAAGGAAATGTAGTTGTCTTTTTTAAAACATTAAGCACATTTGTGAAGTCTTCGCAATTGTATCTTTAGAGGAAACCAGAGGAAGAGAGTCCCCGGAAAGATGATGCAAAGAAAGCCAAACAAGAGCCGGAGGTGAATGGAGGCAGCGGGGATGCTGTCCCCAGTGGAAATGAAGTTTCGGAAAACATGGAGGAGGAGGTGGGCAGTTAAGCAGAGCTTGGCCTCTTGCCTCATCCCTTGTTCTCAGGACTGGGGGAAACCCAGTCCTCCTAAGTGCATGCTCCCCACCTTGAGCCTGTTTGGATTGTTGAGCGCAACCCTCACAGAAACAGTAATAGTGCAGGAAACAGTTTGATTATGGGAGTGCAGGATGACTCACTGACAAATGGAACCTATACGCCACAGGTCCCAACCCCAATGAATGTATCAGAAGGCACTTGATTGGCAAGACCATTAGGTCACTTCTGCTTGCTCCTTTCCATGTAACGTGATTATTGGCTCTCTCAGCCCTGTTGTCACAGAGAATTCAGGAAATGGCCTTATATTTTGTGGTCACTGCCCTCTTAATATAGGGAGCAAAGCAGAGTTTGGGTGACCTGTGTGTTCTCTTCCTCTGACTGAGGCCTGCTCAGTTATATAACACGGAATGGCTTAAACTAGGGTCACTCATGCCCAGGCTCCATTTGTCTTCCAGGCTGAGAATCAGGCTGAAAGCCGGGCAGCAGTGGAGGGGACAGTGGAGGCTGGAGCTACAGTTGAAAGCACTGCATGTTAAGAGGGGGCAGAGCCTTCCTCCCAAGGGAAAGTGTTTTTGTATATAATGTATTTTTTCACTTTTGGGGGATTCTTTTTGTATAACTTCAATAAAGATTGTAAGCAAAGGTTGAGGCTTTGATGGTTTTTTCTTAATTATTGGCTGAATATGTGCCTTGGAGCACTCTAGGTTTTATACGATGGCCAAATGTACCTTTTTTTTTTTTTTTTTTTTGCCTTCTCCACTGATCTGTGTTGTAAGTTCTAACCCCAATTCCTGTTTGTCCAATGTGGAAGTGATCAAATCAAGTGTGGCTTTAGGACCTTTGTCTTCCAACGGTGCTACATTTTCTGTTTTCAAATACTTGACTGAATCCAGCTGTCTTGCAAACCTTCAGTGGTGCTGTCCCTGGATGGGGGCTACAAAAACAAGACTTGGTGAAGATGTTGCTCTTCGGTGCTAAAAATGGATGATGGACTTTGGCTGTGAGCCAGGCCTTGGGTGATACTTGTCTCATATACACCTACTCTTCAAATAGGGCCACAATCCTGTCCTGGAAAAAGAACTCTGAAGAAAAACTGGGGAAGGGGTGGGGAGTGATTCCTGAGGAAAACAGTCTGTGTGTTTAAATGTAGAGACTTGAGCTCTCTGGTTTGAAAGTGGCTGTGGGACTGATGGTGACAGACACTTTGGATGTGGTTGGAAAAATCTGTGGGGAGGCTGGCTGGTTGAGTTATATTTGTTATTTTCTGTATAGAAAGGTTGAAATATATCAACACTTGGAATTATTACCCTGTCTGCAGTTTTCACTTCTTAAATAAAGATGCTCAAAAGCTCCTGGTCTGAAATTGTGTTTAAAGATAATATACCTGGGCTGCCTGAAACATTTCAGTATGAGTGAGATACAGGGTTGGAAAGCGAAAACTAGCCCAGCAGTTCTGGGGGTCCAGTCCAAAGATGCCGGTCGTCAAGGCACCGATATTAACGCCATCCCATTGGGCTCTCACTGATGTCCAGGGTGTAGGGCTGAGCTGCCTCTTACCTGACCCTTAGTTAAAGAACCTGTTAGGGACCTGGCACTGTTTGGATCTGAATTCTAAACAGTGCCTGTCCCACATTACCCAAAGAGATTTGATTGAATAATCCTGACACCTTATGGGACTACTTTGTTGCACTGCACATTCAGGTAGGTTAGAACTTGCTGTTTTTAACATCCAAAGTTGAAGGCAGAGGGAGCTGTGTTGACCCTCAAGTCAACCCCGTTTTCCAGAGTTTTTTTTTTTT